ATTCATTATGTCAAACCTTGGAAAGTATCTAGATACCCCTGCCCTAATGCCAAAGGAACTGCACACTGAATATGTTTTGCCGTTTGATGTCTATGTCTGGGCCGCTGCTTAAAAAGGAGGGTTTCTGCCCCGTTACTTCTCCGCTGCTTTGTTGTTCCAGTATGACCCAACGGTATACTGTTTTTCTCAGACGCGGAGGGATACTGACTTGTTGTGAAAAGTAACTTACAATTCTACCCGTGGTATACGCTCAGTATATCACGGCTAAGAACCGATCAGATTGCTTGATTTTACTTGTCCGTTTTATAAACAGATACAATTACCTTCACCAGCAACAGCATTGAACCATTAATGCCAATAATTTAATAAGGTAAAATGTGTTTTCTTAAATGAACAACTCAGCATAATGGATACTTTTACTTTTTATACTGAGCGTATATTTTGATGCAGAAATCAGACCGTGGTATTGCTCTTCTTGGCCATTGTTTTTTTAAGCCAAATATCATGTTCTGTATGTTCCACAACGTTGTCTCTCCCTCCTACATGACTGTAATATAATTACTTCTTCACATTTTAACTAACTGGCATTTATTTATATATTCCCATTTCTTTCAGAAAAATAAGAAAAAATTTTTTTGAAAAAAAAGATAATGTATGTCGTTTTATGAGAAAAAGGAAGAATTCATGGGTATCTAAAAAATAATGAGAAACATTCCCGAGATAATAATTTTACATTTCAAAATATGGTTTATGTCTGTGTCTGATATCGTATTTATATATATTTCTCTTTTACTTACAACAAAGAGGTTTAACAATTGCCATAACAACAATAAAAGACACCTTGTACACACCAGGGAGCACAACATGCATCCTTAGATAGTCTGTCTTTTAAAATGTTGAAGGTTTTTTGCAGGTTTTCTGTTTTTCAGGGTGTCATATTGTTCAAACTGAAAAATGAGGGGGCGGGTCGGTCGGATGTGACGTCCGTGTCGGAAACGCTGTCAGGCTGGAATACTGCACGTGTTTGAGGGTGCTGCAGAAGGAACATGAGCGCTCAGCTCCGGCTGGCAGAGAGACCCGAGAGAGGACACAAAAGCTTTCATGCCGACGTTTTCTGCTCACTTCTTCACCGTTAACACACAGCCAGACGACAACACGCCCCCCGGCTGCTCAGAGGAGCGTGAAGCAGGACGACACTGACCCGTTAACGGACGGAGAAGCAGAACAACACACCGGGGCGAAGGAAGAAAGTTATTGGTCTCTGTTCCCGGGCCTGTGTGTTGTTGTCTACCCGCTAGTCACTGTAGCAGCTTCATAAGTTGACTTTCTTACTATTTTAACTCTAAAGAACTGGTGAGAGTGTATTTGGATGTCATGGCGGACTACCTGATCAGCGGGCAGACCGGTTACATCCCCGACGACGGGCTGTCGGGAACGCAACTGTTCAACGGAGGAGACGGGCTGACATACAAGTAAAGACTCCACGATCACTCTCACTCTCCTACACGGCCAAACACAAAAACACACGTCTAATGTGTAATGTAGCTATTTGTGCTAACGGCTAACTAGCCCCCCTGCGGTTGACGCTGTCTAGCAACTGGAGCTGGTGATGCATAAGTCAGCCATCTTTCAGGGAAAGCCAGTGACAGGTTATTTACTGATGAGCCGACCTAATATTGGCTAAAATAAATATTTCTGCTATTTTATTTTATTTAATGCTAAAAGAGTTAAGCTCCAAAAACACTGGATGCTACATTTCGTATTATATTATCAATAGCATGTTTTATTATGTCTCACACTGACAGCAAGGTTATCTACATTAGAACCACAGACGACATTATACACCTGTTTAGCTTTGACTCTGGGAGCATAAAACAGATATTTCCCAGGTGACCCGAGTGGTCAAAATGGTTCATAATGTAGGAGAGAAAATTAATGTATTCTGGACCATTGTTTACATTGTACTGCCCAGCCTTCTAACATAATTACTCAGTGCGTATTCTGTACAGACACTGATGTGAGACATGCTGCAGAAGACATTACACAACTGCTTCTACAATGTAATGAAGTGAATACTCATTGCAAGTAAACTGAACACACATTACAATAAAGTTACCAGAGACCAAAGTGGTATCTTCCATTTTAATCTATTGATAAAGTATAGCAATAACCAAAAGTATGCAATCTATTGCTTTAACCAACTGTAGAGAAATATGTCTGCTTTGATGGGGCTGCTTATTCCTAAAAACACAATTGTAAAGGTGAACACACTGTCTAGTTAACCCTTGATTTATATTAACCTGGTGATCACAGCTGGCAGGACACCAATGGTTTATATCTTTTGTCCATTGGTGAAGTTTTACAACTACTTTGGACAGTTTATTGTTTTCTCTTCATATATCTTGCACATTGCCTCCTGTAAAGATTTAGTTATAAGTGAAGCATCTGCCTTTAAAACAGCAGCAGATTGAATAACAACCTCTTGGAAATGAAGGGGGGGGGGACGACGACGACATTCCTTCTATACACACTGGACCCAAATTTAGGTCCTGGCTTACACATCCTGTGTTGTTATGCTGGACTGTGTGGACCCTGGTTATTTATTAAAGGGTCTGCTTGCTAGTCCTTTTAGCAACAAAGCAAACATATATTATTCTGTATGTACTTTGAAGTCCAAAATTATATATCTGACATCTAAATACTTCTACATCTACCAGCTCTACAAAGCAATGTCCGCAAATTGCGATTATTTTAATTTATTATTCCTTGATAAACCAGAAAAAAAATAATTAAGAGATTTATTGAAAATAAAACAAACTATTACTTCCAATCAAAACGTTTTTATTTTTTATTATTGCAGCAATATACTAGTATTATTCAACATTAGTAAATACTTTTTTGATGATCCAGTAAACCCACCAAACCCCTGATGCTTGGACGGTGTATTGGCTCACAGTCACTCGTGTTATATACTTGAACAGGTCTCCTTTTGGTCTCATCATCACATGGCTCACTGTCTCTCCTACAGCACATGGATTGACATGCTTGCAAGTAAGGAGTTCTTTGCCAAAAACATTTCACACACACATTTGTACTGTAACATGACCCCTTCTGAACATTCTCCAGAAAGACATCCTTGTTATGTCCTGTTTGGAGACGGTTAAGTCACATTTTTCCTTGAATATCCTTTTCGGTGTTCTATTTCTGAACAACAACATATGTGTGCTTGTGTCTAAGATCGTTTAACTGCTCTGTTAAACCCGACAAGCCAAACATAAAGAGTTATTGTTTCTGTGAAGGTTTGAGTAAATATTATTTGAATATAAAGGGATGATGAATTAATTTATCCCCCTGTCTTTACGTGTGATGGACTAACTGACGAAGAGCTGCTCTAATCTCATTGTTGTTGTCTCTCCTTCAGCGACTTCCTGATCCTGCCGGGCTACATCGACTTCTCATCAGACCAAGTGGTGAGTTGTCATTATGGGAAAATAAACTGTATGCCAAAACATAACATCTGATTAGTTCTGCTGTGTTATGGAATCAAACTAATCTGATGTCTGGGATAACGCATGGGGGAAGAGTGAGGATTATCAGCTGAGTGCCTCCCATCATAAATAATCCCAGAATTAGGCTCATAATCCCAGACTTTATAATAAAGTGTATTTACATTTGAAATAAATTAGTCTGACCAGAGAGGTTTTGGATACATGATTTTGCTTACCGTTATAAAGTTAGTTTAGCAATCCAAGTCGTTAAATGTTGATTTAAATCAGAGAGCATAACTGAATTAATGTTTTATCTTTTTTTTTAACACAAACTTGGTTTTTCAAAATTGGGTGAAATTGCATATTTTTTGTAAAAACCGATGTCTGTCTCAAATGACATGCCCAAAAGGCTTCCTCCAATCCAAGGAAAGAAGTGGGAGAAAAGTAAACTCTTAGATTGTTCAACAGTCCATAAAGGGAGAACATAACAGGAACCTGTAATCAATGCAAGCAAATGGAATTCACCAAATATATTTTATATTATTCACTCTTGTTTATTTTATAATTTTCAAAAAATATAAATGAAAAAGCTAAAATGTGTAACTATACATGTCAAATTGTGAGTTTAAATTGTCCCTGTGTGCTAAAAATACCTTATGTTGTCCAGGACCTGACCTCAGCGCTCACCAAACAAATCACCATGAAGACTCCCTTCGTCTCCTCTCCCATGGACACCGTCTCAGAGGCCAACCTGGCCATAGCTATGGCAGTAAGTCAACACATGAATGCTCAGTTTCCTTGAGTTATAAGATTGTTTTATTATTCCTGCCATCACGTTGGTGCACTGTGACTGACAGACACACACTGATGTATGTCTGCCTGCAGCTTACCGGTGGCATCGGCTTCATCCACCACAACTGCACTCCAGAGTTCCAGGCCAATGAAGTTCGGAAAGTCAAGGTACTGATGATGGCCATGTGTATGGTTCTAAACTTCATCAATTTTTCCCTTTTTTTATGTTAATCTTAATCATAAGTCATCTCATGTCAGCATCTCTTTGTCTTTCTCTATTTCTATTTACTGCTTTTAGTTTGAACGATTAAGAAGTGGGTAATTTCCCTGCATGCCTTGCTCCGCTGCTCTAGAGTCTAAGCCGTAAACGCTCAAATATTCTTTATCCAACCACCCACATGAAATCCCTTACATTTTTTCCTCGGCTGGGTCTTGATTCCACTTCCCAATTATATTTGTTCCTGCCCTGCTTTATTCCTCCAAACCCCTCCTTTCCTCACCTCCTTCCTTACTTCCCTCCCTTCTCCAGCGCTATGAGCAGGGCTTCATCACGGACCCCGTGGTGATGAGCCCCAGCGAGCGCGTTCGGGACGTCTTCCAGGCCAAGGCTCGCCACGGCTTCTGTGGAATCCCCATCACAGACACCGGGAAAATGGGCGGCAAGCTGGTGGGCATCATCTCCTCCAGAGACATCGACTTCCTGAAGGAGGAGGACCACAACCTGCCGCTGAGCGACGTAAGACATGAGTCATTAGACATTATTAACTACTGTGGGGTTAGTGTACGTTTTTTAGGAACTGAAAAATCAAGAGTGTATGATTTGTTATATTTTCATGAAAAACAGGAGGAATTATCCAATAGTTTTTAATTTAAGTCCGAGTCTGATTGATTCTGAATTTGTGAGACTCGTATACAACTGAGTGAAAAACTTGAACACAAATTACAGTAAATGAAACATTTCAAATGTTTGTAATCGTAACGGTTAAGTGTATCACAAATATTTCTAAAGATTCTAATCTAATCTAATAACGGCATAGTTAAAATAATAATAATATGTTAGCAAAAACATAAATGTATGCTATCATTTTTGTGTTGCAATGTTCCTCTTTTGTATCTGCCACTACATATGGCTTTAAAAGCCTGTGACAGCCTCCCAACAACTGTTGTGCAGTGAAATATTGGGCTACTAGTCATCTCGAACCGTCAGTTTAAAAAAGAAGGTGCGATACCGTTCCGATAAATATCAATAATTTCGAACATCGCGGGGAAATTCCTTCGACTCATTTTGGGGGAAGCCGGAAGTGACGTCAATGCGGGAATGCTTCACTGTGCGGCGAGAGAGCCAAACACGGACAAAGTGTGTTGTCATGCGTAGAAATGGTGAATTACTGAGTTTAGGCCTATGGTTTAGGCACGTTAATAACGTTTTAATGAAGTTGACTACAGTATATTAATTTCATGTCAATTCGGCGAACATAAACATAAATGATCGTGGTGAAGAGGATGATTTAAATTAGGATTAAAAATTGGTAGTGAGAGCTGCTGAATTTCCTCCCGTCGGATGTGAAATAAAAACAAATCGATTATTTTTGTAGTTGTAAACTCAAATGGATGAAACTACATTTATTAGTGCTTTCATGTCAATTCGGCGAACATATGATACATTAAATGATCGTGAGGATGATGATTTAAAAATCGTTTGTTTGAGCCGGTCTGCATTTCCTGATGAAAAAACAAACCGATGCTTTTTGTATTTCTAACATGGATTAAACGTGTGTTTTTTTTTTTTTTTACCACAATTTTGGGGAAATTAATGGATAAAATGCACGGATTATTATTCATTCCCACTCCGATCGGGACACTAGGTCCACCGTTTCCCCGCAGCGAGGCTCCCCCATAGACAGTTTACGTGGACTGGGCTGGGTGCAGTGGCGGACTGGCCATCGGGACGAATCCCGATGGGCCGGTACCGAAGTGGGCCGGTCGGATAAGTCACTAGCACATCCCCCACTCCCCCCGTGGACAATTATCTAGCGGTACCGAAGTGGGCCGGTCGAGAGTCCCGGGATGACTTTTAGTCCCAGTCCACCACTGGCTACATGACCGTATGATCGCCCATATTGACGCACCTAATTCCTAAACTTCTAACAGATACAACATAAACCGATCCTTCAGCCTCATATGAGCTCTCAGACACGTTCAAAATTAAACTGTCATCGCTGTCTGAGCTTGCTGCTGTGTGCGCCATCGTGATCCCAGCATCTGCATGTAAACACATGCAGATGCTGGGATCCTGAACGGTGCAGCTGGAGCGCTGTGCCCGCAATGACGTCACACATAATTTGGCGGGATTTGAAGAATCCCCGAGAAGATCCAGAATATGGTCAACATTGAAGGGCAGATTAATGGTTATCAAAGTAGAAATATCCCAAATCAGTTCATAACGGTTTTCAAGGGCGACAATATTTTTACTCAAATTGTGGGTTTGGGATTGAATGGGGGAAATTCGGGTCAAGGGCTCTTTAACACGTATGTGTAGTATGTGTGGTATTACGAAAATGCATACATACAGGATGTTAATAGCAACCAGGACCACATCAGATAGTTCTGTTTATAACTGTAGATTAGACACATAATCGAGTAGTTCTAAGTGTGTAAGTCTATTACAAATTATTGAATATAGAGTTTTCTTTTATGTGGATATATATTTCTTTTTTAGGGGTATAAAAACCACACCCGGTTTCCATGATTGTTTGCGCTGTTGTTAAAATAACAAAGGTGTGCCTTTTATGCAATTTCTGTTGGTCATGTGATATTATGAAAGCCAAACTAAAACGCCTTTTTCAAAATTAGGACAAAGTTTTGGGTGTAT